GAGCCCTGGGACAGGCTGCCCAGAGAGGCTGTGGAGTCTCCTTCTCTGGAGACTTTCCAGACCTGTCTGGATGCCTTTCTGAGTGACCTGCCCTGGTTTTGGTTCTGCTCTGGCAGGGGGGTTGGACTTGATGGTCTTCAGAGATCCTGAACATGCTGTGGTTCTGTGACTACACTTCTGGTTAACAGTTGCCTTCTGTGCTCCCAACCCAGTCATCCACATAATGAATCCAAAAGGTTATTTTCCCATTAATACAGACACAAAAAAATTGTGACTCTGATGTCAACATATGCATTAAATCCACCTGCAAACTTGACACGGAGCACATAGGCTGAAGGGAACAGCATGAGGCTCCTCAGCTGGGCACAGCACACGGGTTAAGAATAAACTGCAGAACTGGGGGAGGAGGAGAGAGGTTTGTTAAGCTTAAAAACTGAATTTGTTCTCAAAATCATTAGGAGCTTCATCAAAAGTTACTTGTAGCTGTCTTTTTTCCCCCAGCATCTTTATTTCTCCGCTGAACCATCTACATTTCTAATGATGCTTTTCCTTTCTGTGTTTTCAATAAAGACTTTTAGATAAAGCTTTCCTTAACAAACTTTCACTAAAGAAGCTTTCTGCCAAGTCAGCTAGGACTTCAGTGGTTTGAAATAGTTACTGAAGTTCCTACAAACGTTGCAGAGATGCAGGAGGGAGCGTTGCCTGGGATCCCAACAGGATTATTCCTCAAAAGCTGAGAAGAATGGGAAAATGAAAAGCACATTGCAGCAGGGAACCGTGTTTAGTGGGTATTTTAGTGCAGCTACAGACATGGTTGTGTTTAACTGTTATGCTGCCCTTTAAAAAAAAGTCTGGAGCTGTTTGATAAGGAAGCTGAAGTTGAAAGCAAAGCCTTTCTCATAACCCCTGCTCCCTCCCACGCAGCAGCAGGAGCAGGGACAGCCTGTGTCCTGAAGCGGTCAGTCGTCAGCGCGGGCAGAGAGCCCATGTCATGGCCCTGGGTCATTCAGCCTGGAGAAGAGAAGGCTCCAGGGAGACCTTAGAGCACCTTCTAGTGCTTACAAGAAAGCTGGGGTGGGACTTTTGACAAGGGCTTGGAGGGATGGGACTAGGGACGGTGGCTTTGAACTGGAAGAGGGGAGATTTAGGTGAGACATGAGAAGGAAATTCTTCACTGTGAGGGTGGTGAGACCCTGGCCCAGGTTGCCCAAAGAAGCTGTGGCTGCCCCATTCCTGGAAGTGTTCAAGGGCTTTGGAGAAATCTGGTCTAGTGGGAGGTGTCCTTGCCCATGCAAGGGGTTGGGACTGGGTGATATTCAAGGTCCCTTCAAACCCAAACCAGTCTGGGGTTCTCTTGCTCCAGAAGTCTGTCCTTTCTCACCACTCAGCTAGAGGGCACAGAGCAGCATGTTATGGCTCTTGGAGAGCAGCAGGAAAGATCTCCTCAAACCTGCTAAGGGAGAAGCAGTTGCCATCCAAGGAGGCTTCATTGTGTGACAGTTATGACAACATGCCATAGTGAACAATATTCTGAACAGAGCTATGGTAGCACTCCATCAGCTGTGACAATGACCTGTATCTCCAGCTCCTTGGCTGAGTTCTGTTGGGTGAGCCTCTTGCTAATGTCTCTTGAGTTGATACCTGGGCTAAAAATACCTTTGTCATCATTTAACCACAGTTTCCTTTTTAACTTTTAAAGTAGTGATCCCTAAGCCACTGATCAGTGGTGGTCATGAGCAGCTCCTGACTGACACATTGAGATTTGCTGTCAGCCCATCACCAAGTCAGATGCTGCAAACACAATCTTAAGCAAAGCAGTCAGAGGAAACAATGACACTTAATGCCACCAGTGTAGGTGGCAGGGGAGGTGTGTAGTCACAGGAAAAGAGTAGGGAAAAAATGAAGAGGCCCAGCCACACAGGTGAAGGATCCACGTGGATCCTTTCTGCAGATAAAGGTCCATATTGCAGTCTACTCCCTTACTTGCTGGCAAATCATGAAGTGTCTGGGATTAATCCATGACTCTCCCAGTCCATTCTTGGCCATCAGAGCAGCTGGGTTTATTTTTGCTTCTCTGGCCTCTGCCATGGGGGGCTGGGCTCCCTCCTAGCCCCTGGAATGGTGAGGTGCCCAAGCTTCCAGCCTGCCAGCTCCAGCCTTGGCTGTCCTCTCTCTTGCTGGCCCATTCTCTGGGTCCTCTCCTTCCCATAACACGAGTGAGGCAGCGAGGTGACATTAAAGTACTGGAACACCAGATAAAAGGCTCTTACTATATTTATTGAGTGTTACAGATAAGTAATCCACTTTGCTGTCAGTGTCTAGAGAAACAGCAAATAAAGTCTACATGCCCCTTGCTTTGATGTGATGAAATCTCCAGGGGACCTTTACTTCAGTGGCATTTGCAGTGCAGCTGTGGGTGAGGTTTGCAGTGGAAAACAGAATATTTTTCATATCTTTATGCACTGCTTTAAAAGTATCACCAAGGCTGATTCCTCTGTGCTTGGACAATTCCCTGGTCTTAAAGCTGTTTGTTCTTTCTTCCTCCCCCTCCCCCCATGTTATTAAAATAATCTTAACCATTTTTGTTGGAAGGGGAAAAATTAATAGTTGTTTTGTGGTTTCATGCACACCATTAAAACAACAGTCTGGTTTTCATTTAAACCAATAAAAGTATGGAAATTCAAAATGAAGGCTCTCTTCATGTCCTTAGATCAACTTGTTGGCCCTGCTAAAACACATAATAGATGAAGCAGGGAAAAAACCTCAGTCTTACAACCCAGAGCTTCCAGTTTAGCTTTTTTTTTTGTTGATTTCAAACTTGACATCACTTTATTGCCTGACTTCCCAAGCTATAAAAACGGGCCTGTTTTTGTAAATTTGCAGCAGTTTAGAATCCACTGAGCCACAGACATAATTTTTTAAAAACCTTAGCAATAATCAAGCAAATTGGTCAACAAACGTGCATTGGCAAAGGGGCTGGGGAGGGACTGTTTAAAAGGGTGTAGCAGTGGGATGAGGGACAGTCTTCAACCGGAGCAGAGGAGATTTAAAGTAGATAAAGAAGTTCTTTACAGTGAGGGTGGTGGATCACTGGAGCAGGTTGCCCAGAAAGGTGGTGGAGGCCCCATCCCTGGAGACATTCAAGGTCAGGCTTGATGGGGCTCTGAGCAACCTGATCTAGTTAAAGATGTCCCTGCTCACTGCAATGGGGGCTGGACTAGATGACCTTTAGAGGTCCCTGCCAACCCAAGACTGCTATGATTCTGTGATCTCTGAAGTCACAGCAGCTCTGTCACTTGTGGTACTTCCCTGTGTCACTTCCCTGGCCAAGCTCCACCTGTACACATATACATAAAGTTGATGAAGTTGTGGCTGCTCTTTGATTGCTACACTGCTGTTTAGCAGCCATCCCCAGTGACCCCCAGCACCTTCTGAAACTTTACAGCCCGTGAAGACAAATCCATAAAAGGTCCTAAATAAGGTACTTCTGAGCCAACTGGCTGGCAACACTTAATGTGGTGAAGGTCATATCTGCTGGATAATAAATGGTTTCTTTTCTCTGTGCAATAAACCATTTGCCTGAGCAGATGTAAACCTGTTGGTCCCTCCCCCAGCAGCCCACCAGTGCTGCAGAGCAGGGGCAGGGCATGAGCTCAGGCAACATGGCCCCTGCAGCCCCCCAGCCCCAAGCTCTTCTCCATCTCAGTTGCTTTCCCACAGTGCAGAGGTCTCTGCATCCCAGGGGAACTTGCTTCACAGGCCAGGGGAGGTTTTGTTTATTTTCCCATCCCCAAGGGTAAATGAGTTGCCAGAGTAACATGGACAAAGAGTAGTGTCCATGTGGAGTTCCAACGAGAGAGCAGGAATATTACAGCTTCATGGAATGCCAGGGTGGCAGGGACCTCAAGGATCGTCTGGTCCAACCTTTCTAGGTAGAAACACAGTTTAGATGGCCCAGCACCCTGTCAAACAGAGTCTTAAAAGTGTCCAGTATTTGGGAATCCACTGCTTTCCTGGGGTGGTATTTCCAATATCCCACTGTTCTCATAGTGAAGAATTTTCTTCTGATGTCCCAGTTGGGGTCTCCCCAGGAGCAACTTTCACCCGTCACCCCTTGTCTTCTCCATGTGACTCCTTGTAAAAAGGGAGTCTCCATCTTCTTGGTAGTCACACTTGAAGTATGGGAACATGCCAATGTGGTCTCCCCTGAGCCTTTTCCCCAGGCTGAACAAACCCAGTTCTGTCAGCCTTCCATATTTATTTGCTCATTTATAGGACTTTGGTACATAATATGTTGTGATTATTTATCATGGCTGTAAGAAGGGGGCCTGGTGCTGATGGACATCCCAAAACCCAGCTCAGTTCCCCCCTTCCCCTCCTTATCCCAGGCTTTGCCAAGAAGTCTCCTGGTCCTGGGGCTGCAGAAGCTGGAGAGAAACTGTAGGAGAGAGGAAGGAGGATGGACTTAGAAGAGTTAATCCTAGGAAGGAATGGGTTAGTACTTGCCCTGAGATCTTCCAAGCTGCTTTAGTTGAGCTGAAGGAGGTGAACTTTACTCCAAACCCTTGGTGTGCTGAATTTTCTTCATCTGAATTGCAGCAGAGAAGTTGGGTTTTGTAGAGTCATACAGCCATTTACAGGGTGTGCTAGGGGCAACCTAGACCTCTCATTCCCATTTATTAACCCTTGGAAAAGATTTGGAAACAAGTCACCAGTCGTCAACATTTTAAGGCAGCAGCAACGGGGAGATAAACCACCAGCAGATGGGAGAGGGTTGCTTGGGAAGGAGGCACTTGACATAATGCACCATTAAAAGTTCATGAGGAGGTGTCCCAGAAAAAAAAATCTTACAAAGCTTAATGTTAAATTCTTACTTTTAGCCGTCTGGTCATTTCCAGGAGGGAATAATCAGCTCAGCCACAACATTCACGTTATTTCATGTTGTGAGAGAAGAGGGATTGTCTGATTTTTCTTTTCCTTTCTTTCCTTTTTTTCCACAGTAATTAGTGAAAGTCAAAAGCAGCAACTGGAATCTGCAAGCTACTCCTCCCGCTATGCTCTGGGACTTTTTTATGAAGCTGGTACCCGGATTGATGTCCCCTGGGCTGCCCAGTACATCACTGGTAATCCCTGCATACGCTTCATCTCCATCGATAATAAGAAACGCAATATAGGTCAGTGCTCCCATTATTCCCCTTAAACACGGTGACAATAGAGGGTGTAGATCATGAAAACTCTGTTTAATTGAGTGTTGCTATTCTGAACACAGCGAGTATTTAACTCCAAGCCGCAGCGGATAGAACTTAATATCACATTTGGCCTGTAATAAAACACACAATGAAAGTGGGAAGGTCCTCAGAAAATCACTGCCCAGCTCATGGTTTATGTTACTGCATTTATGAAACCAGTGTTGGGGGATATGAGACATCAAAATGCTGCTATTCCAAGAAAGAGCTGGAGTTCCTTTGTTTAAACATTGATTCAGACATCTGCCAATTTGTCCCCCATCATCCATTACTTTACAACTCCTTTCCACCAAGCACGCTTGGAGTGGGAATGAGTTGTATGATAGAGGCTGTTCCCTTCCATCTGAGTTCTCCAGTGTGCTTTTGTGATCATGGAAAATCCTTGAAATGGCTGGTAAAGCTGGAGAACATCCTGCCAGGCAGACACTTCTTGTCTGTCTCTGGAAGATGGCAGCTGAGTAAGTGCATGTTTTATTTATTAAATGTATGTCATACATCAAGAGTGTGTTGGCGTGGAATAGCTCAAGAGTAACCACTGAGTTGAATCAAGTTCGTTAGGAAAGCACTACCCCATTCTGTCACTTGCTCACATGGTGACAATGACCAGGCTTAACCACAGCTGTGAAATGGGGGTTAAAACCTTCGTGGTGACCTACAAAACTCTATGACTCACTGGCACAGAATAAGGAGGGATTTTCAGCATCAGCTGCTGCCTACAACATCGTTACTCAGTATTACCGCATCCACGGCGCTCAAGCACAGTCAGACTGACACCTCTCAGGCTTCTCCTCCTGCTCTTCCTTGTGCAGGTGGGATTCACTGCAGCCTGCAGCCATCAGTGATGGTGGTTAGTGCAAGCCTCGTCCTTACACCTAGATGCCATCACCATGCTAGAAAACGGCCCAAAGATTGGGCACACCTTCCCTCTTGGGCCCTGCAGACGTGCCGTTTGATGGAAGAAGTCACAGAGTGTCACAGGATCACAGCAGCACTGGTGTTCAGGACCTCTGAAGAGGTCTGCTCCAGCTTCCCCTCACAGCAGGCTGTACCAACACAAGGGCAGGGCAGACGTGCCTTGTCTAGGTGAGGTCTAAAAAACCCAGGATGAAGATCCCCCACGTTACTGGTGACCTTTCCCAGAGCTGTGCCTTCATGGTGGGAAGACATGTTTTTTCACCTGCAGCTTGAACTTCCCAAGGCTCAGCCTGTGGATGTTGCCTCCTGGTCCATTACTTGCCTCTACCAATTAGAGCCACAGCCATTCAGGTTGGAAGGGACAACTGAAGGTCATCTGGTCCTACCCCCACATAGGCTTGAAGTGACATCCAGCTGCCAAGCTTGTGTTTCTCAAGGCTCTGTCCTGCTCCACTTGTACATCTCCCAGGATGGAGATGCAGTGAGTCTGCACCTCTGCTGCAAATGTGCACTGATGATTGCTGCTCCTTATGAGCAGAAGGTTCTTGTCTGCAGAGCTGCTTTCTGTTCTGTTTGCCTCAGTGTAGTGTGGCTTGGGGCAGCCCCCTCTCATTTGCAGGGCTTCAGATTTCCCTTTGTTGAACTTTGAATCATGGAATGGTTTGGGTTGGAAGGGACCTTAAAGATCATCTAGTTTCAACCCTGTGCATGGGCAGGGACACCTTCCACTAGACCAGGTTGCTCCAAACCCCATCCAGCCTTGAACACTTGCATGGATGGGGCAGCCACGGCTTCTCTGGGCAACTTGGGCCAGGGTCTCACCACCTTCACAGCAAATAATTTCTTCCTAGTGTCTAACCTAAATCTCCCCTCTTGCAGTTAGAACATCATGGCAATTGTCTCCATCACCTTCAGAACTGTCATTAGTGTCAAGCTGCTTTTAGATGCCCTGCTCCCTCAGCATCTTCTGGAGCAGATCCAACAAGCTCAGCTTCCTCCATCTCTCATCCTAGATTGCATCCTCTACCCCTGGCAGCTCTTCATGCTCTGCATCCCTCTGAGCTGGGGGTTAGGGGTGAAGCTGGACACAGCACTGCAATTGCAGCCCTATGGGGACTGGTAAGGAACTGAGATCTGCTGGCCATGCTCCTTGTGATGGGTTTTCCCACCTTTTCACTGCTGACTTCTATTCTGTGGTGGGTCCACCATAACAAGCAAGATCTTTTCAGCAAGGTCTGTTGCTCAGCCAGACTGATGCGTAGGGCTGTCCCGTGGCACGTGCAGGGCCTGGCACTCCCTGGCACTCCCCTGGTTGTGGGGACAGTACAGTTCAAATCAGCTATTCCAAATATGCCCCTCTGCAACAAAGCCAAAGGTGCAAAGCAATTGCCTCCAGAGACACCAGTTTATGCTAGGAGCAAAGGAATTGAAGAGTTGAATCAACTCATCACTATGGAAGCCCATTTTTTTTTTCTTTCTCTGAAGAATTCAGCTTGTTGATCTGAGAAAAAGGGAAAACAACATGAAAGCATGGCTGAACTGACCAAACAAAGCTGCATCTGCCCTTCATTTGCTTCCTCCAGCAGGGACAAATAGACAATATGTTTAAAAAAAGAGTGTAAAGAAAACTAAACACAGAGGGGTGTTTTTTCTTTGGCATTGTCTCCTTGTTACTGACAACGTGCACCTGGAGATGTTCTTGCATCTCAGGTAATCTCAGCATCACTGTGGTTAACAGCAAGCACTTGATAGTTCACAGCACCTTTTAGTATTGTCCATCTCACCTATCCTTTCCTCACCTGCTTCCATCTGTGGTCTCAAAGTGCCAGTGCTGAAAACAGAGATTATGGAATTGTGATGGAATTATCAAATAGTCAAGCCCAATGTCTTTGCTGTCTTCACATGCAATTTAAGCAAACAGAAGGCATATTATTTGGGGCACACCGTTCACAAATCCAGAGGAACTACCAGAACAACAGTGTTGACACATACCTCTCTCACTGAAATGTCCCTGATATCATGTCAGAGATCTGTTTATACGAGCATATTTTTTCCAGGAAGAACAACTTGTGTACCTTCCTAGGGCTGGATTGAGCCCTGGTACAGCCTTCCTTGTGACAGAGGAACACTCAACCAGCTGCCCTGACTGTGCTTTCCTTCCTGGTGAACTTGCACTGTGCAGGTTTGCACTTTGTTCAAGGAAAAGGAGGATCTCACATGACCCAGCACCATGTGCTGGAGCCCAGAAACCACCCGTGTCCTGGGCTGCATCCCCAGCAGTGTGACCAGCAGGGCCAGGGAGGGGATTGTCCCCTCTGCTCTGCTGAGACCCCCTTCAGGGCTGGGTCCAGCTCTTGAGTCCCCAACACAGGAAGGGCATGGGAGCTGTTGGAGCAAGTCCAGAGGAGGCCATGGAGATGCTGGGAGGGCTGTAGCAGCTCTGCTCTGGAGCCAGGCTGGGAGAGTTGGCGATGTTCAGCCTGGAGAAGAGAAGGCTCCAGGGAGACCTTAGAGCACCTTCCAGGGCCTGAAGGGGCTCCAGGAAAGCTGGGGAGGGACTTGGGACAAGGGTGGGGAGGGATGGGATGAGAGGGATGGATGAAAACTGGAAGGGGATATTGAGGTGAGACATGAGGAGGGAATTCTTCCCTGTGAGGGTAGTGAGACCCTGGCCCAGGTTGCCCAGGGAAGCTGTGGCTGCCCCATCCCTGGCAGTGCTGAAGGGCAGGTTGGATGGGGCTTGGAGCAGCCTGGGCTGGTGGGAGGTGTCCCTGCCCATGCAGGGGGGTTGGAACTAGATGATCTTTAAGGTCTCTTCCAATCCAAACGATTCCATGTGTTTGTGGTTCTGTGAAGAGCAGCTAGGGGAGAGCAGTCCATGCCAGCTGGAGAAGCTCTGGCTGTGAGGGTTCCTGCCGGAGCATCGGAACGTGCCCCTGTGTCACCTGCAGGAATGCTGAACTACAGCAGGATACACATCACGCGTGGTCACCATGTTGTTCACTTCCCTCCAAACACCTGCACAGCTCTGCTGGTAACCAAAGCCCACACGCACATGTACCTGGAGAAAATATGGGCAGGGGAGGCTGAGGGTGAGGTTTATTGACACGTGTGGAGCTCTGGAGCCAAAACACATGAATGTCAAGTTCCTTTGTGTTTGTTTTAGCATGTATGCAAGTCTTTGGCATTTGTGTTTTTCTTTCCATGCTTCTGACAGACCTCCAGCTACATCTGTATCATGTCTCCCTAAAAGCAAATAGTCCAGCCCTCAGAGGCCAAAAGGCAGAGCCTGGCCCTCAAGGACAAGCTGTCCTTTTGGTTTGTGTGAGATGTGGTAATCCCTGCTGTGACTCAGTCAGTAACAGAGATATGAAACTTCCTTCAACAGGTTGCACATTTTACCAGGGAAATACCTGAAACAGGCGTCTTGTTACAGTTACACAGCAGGATGGTTTGACAGCAGAACTCAGGAGTGGCAGAATGTAATTCCCCAGAGATGTCTACCTTTGATTGCTCCCAGATCCATGTGCTTCTGCAAGGACCACTTGGGCCCCCTCTCAGTTGCAGGGCTAGAGATAGATGATACAAAATTGGAAGCAGTTCCCTTCTTTCACTTCAGGATTGTGAGGCTGGGGAATTTAAAGGGAAGATTCATCTTCAGGGTGTTCAGGATCTGTGCAATTCTTGAGCATCCTTTTTGATTTTAAGATCCTTTAGCTTCTCAGTAGCAAAATAAGAATTTTTAGGAAGATGGAAGAGTTCCTTCCCCTCATGCTACCTAGGACCAGAATGGGTTTGGGGTAGCAAAACACATCTCCCTGGTAAGATTAAAAAATCCTGAGGGGCAGGAAGAGACCACATCTTGGGTTTTTATCCAAATCGGTTCTGACTCCAGGTTTTGGGCAGGAACACGAGAAAAAATACTTGACACTGTTCCTCTAGGAAGGACATAAATGTTTCTGTGGAAGATGTGTAGCTGTCACATCCATGTACAGGTCTCTTCTGGAGATAGG